AAAAAATATCCCTTTCACGAGCAATAGTTGGAAGCTTACTGATATATTTGTCTAGAATAGAAACATGACATCGCTCACCAACAGCAGGGTTTTCAACAATAGGGACGACTTTATGACTCAGATAAGTCTGCAACAAACCACCAGGTCTATTCTTAGAAGAATTTTCAGAATATACATATCGATTAGGATTCTGTAACCGTTGAAATTGTGATATCTTTAACTGGCGATGCTCCTCACCCCCTCTCAAACAAAAACATTTTCCATTATAATAGAAAACAGCACGCAATAAACCCAATGGTGAAGTAACATTTAGAACCCCACTTTTCCACAATTGATCCTCTTCTTCTTTTGAAATTGATTCGGTAAGAGATGATTCAGTGCCAATTCCATCACTACGCAAATTTTTAAAGAGGTTATCAAGAGTGACTATGAAAGTGTGGAAAGCTGGATCATCTTTTGACATAAAATTAGGATACTCAGAATTTTGGTCACGCATATGACGCATAATTCCTGCTAGCAAACACTGAATGGTCTTTGGTGGGTATCTCTCGCCGCTTTTGTTCCTAGTTTCGTTGACAAACAGACATAGCCACTTACAAATGACTTCTTTAGAGCAGCCGTGCCCCGTGAGAAACTCATCAGGACACTTTTTGTCGGGATTCCGTTCGTTGTAGTCCTTAAACCAGTCCTCTAGGTTCTTCATGGCCCACTTGCTCGTCTTTTCGGTGTTTTTCGGGACTTTACGCTTGGCCATTTCGTCGATTTCCTCTGATGATGATGGCTGGAATCTTTTCTTGTTTAAAGACAACGATACCCTTCTTTTTTTAGAAGGAGGAACGTTCTCCTTTTCTTGATTCTCTTCCATAGATCCAGCTTCAGCCATGACAATGAAACACACGCGGTCTGTTTGACCTACTGCGCATGCGCAATGATTGGCTTCATCAGAAAATAAATTCATTATACCACACCTGTGAGGTGTATATGGCTTATATATACTAACCTCGCCCTCGGGCTACACCCTTGGGCTCGGTTAGTATATAAGCCAATATACACCTCACAGGTGTGGTATATTATAAACATATATATATATATATATATATATATATATATATATATATATATATATATATATATATATATATATATATACTCTAACTTTTTAATCAGTTTCATGGAGGGGATTCCTAGCACTTCTCTCGCCTTATTCATCACTGGAAAATGAAGAGGACCCAGATGAAGATGATGATGTAGCAAATATATATGTATGGTATTAATATTTCAAAGAGAAACAATTGATTTAATACCTTGCTGGTCATCCCCTTTTATCTTCTAATGTTTATTAATCTAGGAGGTTCTGTTAAGCTCTCAACATATGCTAGGTCCAGGCAACATGTTGCTAGCAAAATTTGTGGAACTTTAAATTATGTAAGCAACATCTTGCCAGAAATAGCAGCATGTTGCTTACAAGACCAAAGCAACCACAAATGTTGTTAGTGACATGTTGCCTAGTGTATGCTGGGCTTTAAGTATTGGCCTAAAGAATACTCACATCAGGTCCAGAAATTGCAATGGAATGAGGGGTCATGGCATCGTTAATAATATTCATTGAAGTTTAAGTATATTCATTATTATTAATTGAATATTTCTATGGTTACAATGGCGAGATTTTCTGCAGGGAAGACGAGTGGCTATTATAGTGGTATTTTTTGTGCTACAGAGGTAGCTCAAGAGCCATTAGACAGTACTGATTGTGAGGATGTATATGAAGTGGAGAGACTCGTGGAAAGCAAGACAAGAAGAGTAAGTTTACTAATACCTGTGGCTGTCACTTCACGCGGACTATTCCTATGATTCTCAGGGCAAAACTTACTACTTAGTGCTTTGGAAGGGCTTTCCAAAGGAGGAATCTTTTTGGGTGTTATCCAGTGATGTCACAGAATTTGCAAAAAGGTATAGTATAGCCAAAATGGCAGAGTTGTTTAGTAAAGTCATACCTAGGATGTATGAAAATCCCTGTCCTGGCAATAGAATTACAATGGACTCTGTCAGTGATCTAGTAGCAGAAATACATAAAAGTCTATCAAAAGGATTGTTGAAAAACAACTCATTTAGTTTACCGTTCCAACGACATGTCTTTAATTACTTGTTTCAACAGAGAGGAAAGAAAGTCAAGAATAAACCAGGAAGACTTTATGAAAGATCTGACTTTTCTTCACAATATTTTAGTGATGACAACTTCAGTTATTTCAACAAGGAAGGAGAAGGGTGCTTTGTACTCTTCCCAATATATATGTACAGTTTTGTACAGTTTAGTCACCCCCATTATGATAGTGCTAAGAATCTTTGTAAGAGAAACTTTACTGAGACTTTAAGAATTAAACTTGTAAAATCACGTTCCTAATAATTGTTTATTACTTATAATGACTTGTACATCATTTTGTACTTGTACAAATTGTGTACATTATTGTATAATAGTGATAATGATCAACAGTGCATACTTTACAAGATAGAGGTGCAGGGGCATGAAAATGGAAGATTAAGACTGAATGCTGATATGGTGAGAGTCATTATCAAATCACATGAGGTACATGTATGTATGAGTGTGGCAGTTACAGTTTAGGCTAGTTATTCAGATACTGTGCGAGCTCTTTTGACTAAAATACCATTATTCCAGTATTCAATATCAGCCTTTTCATATGGCCTTTTTGACCTTGCTGTGTGTGATAGTTTTGATAGCCTTTTCTCTGTCAGTAGCACTTCTTTTGGGGGATCGAAATGATTGCTAGATTGGTAGTGCCTCCTGGCATTATCATTGTTCTTCTCTACCCCTATTAAAATAGAAATTAATAGTATTCAATACTGTCAAAATGTTACTGTATGTACCTTGTCCTGTAAATCTTTTGATACCATTGTGTCTTGCTATCATTTTTGGCACATGTTTGTGTAGAAAGTGTATATATGGCGTAACGTTACTTTTCTGATATCCCTGCATGACACTAAGACTTTAAAATTGTGTAACCCATTGAGGAGTCTATTAATTAAAGAAAAATTAGCTAACAATCATGATTTTGAACGTACCTTTTGACTTATCAACTCAATTTCATCTTTAGATGGTTCTTGTATTGAGATAAGTTTGTATATCATGTCAAAGTCCTACATGCAGTGCATGAGTTCTTATATGTATTAGTTATAGTGATATTAAATTTGTACCTCCCATAATTTCATAACTTCATTTCCTTTTCTGGGTAGTAAATGGGGAAGTTTACATGGTAGCTTTGTTAGTAATATTTTTTTATCATTTCCTCGTAGAGTAGTCCAATCGAAACTCTCCTTTCCTCTCCTTCCATCGCATTTCCATACCTACATGTAATAAATTTTTAATGTTTTTGTGTATGTAATTTTTACCTGAAAACTTAGTCCACAGCCTCTTATACTTTGAACTGCATTTCCCAAATATGACGACTTTTGTTTGTGAAAAGCCTGTACTTCATCTTGGTATATCATCTTCCATAAAACATTTCTCAAAAGAATATCCATTACGCGAAGAAACGTGTAGCTCATCAATGACAATATTTGTCATTTCCAGTTTAAAAAGAGGCTCAAATGAAACTCCTAATTGTTTCTTCTTCGCATTTTCTACCAAAGAAGACAGTGATCTTTCCTTTGCTTCAAAGGTGATATCCCACCTGTAAATACATGTAGGGGTGTGTTATGTATGTAGTTTAATAAAAAACCTCTTGTCCTTGTGAATTTCACAATATAAGCATGCAAAGTTTGAGCTTGCCTCTTTCAGTCCCATAGTCATCAGTAAAAACTACAAATAAAGTGCCGTTATTTGGCTAAAAATTACTTTGTCTCACCTTATAGTCACCACCTAGCAATAAATTTATTTCAATTCTCTTTCCCTTAATAATCAAATAGCCTCTCTGTATAATCTGATTTACTTCGACCAGAACTGGTGCCAACTCTTCCTTCATTAAGTGATAGCTCTCTTTTCCTTTGATTACAGCAAATGTATAATTGCCTAAGGTATTTAAATAATTATTTGTATTTAATGTGTTTATTTACTTGTGCTAGAGAGAGAAAAGTCTAAAGATGGAAGGGAAAAGGACAGAATAATAAAGGATGAAAGTCGAGTAAAGGGTGCTCCGTCACCACTCAGCTTTATTTCAACAGGTGAATGAATATCCTATAATTTATAGTCAATGTATGATGATATGTCATTTCAGATTAATTACCTCAAAATTAGTTATTGTGTCAACAAGACACTGTTCAAACTGAATATAACAACCTTCATGTGGTTTAGGTAAGTGCCTTATGTCAGTGGTTGCTACTATCTTCGATCTTTCTTTTTTGATTAGGTACGACCGAGGCAATTCTGGATATAGCATTGTAAGTTCGTGGTAGAACTCGTCAGATACACCAAAGCGATCTAGGAGATCAAGTATCTCCTGACTTCCATGTCCTTCAGCAGCTTCAGCTACACTGTCGGCGGTGATAGAAGGTAATGGTGATCTATTGTACTTCAGAACTAGTTTCTTGTCATCGGATGATTTATAGGAAATGTCTACTAAGTTGATATCATATGTTCCTGTAAACCACAAGGCATTTTTGCAAGATTCTTTCAAAGTGGCAATTTTTCTTTTGCGTTGTCTTGCCTCAACATCACATATACCTTTACCTTTTATTATTACAATGTATGTATAAATTAAATACGTATAGCACTATAGTACATACCTGAATTGATGCTTGCTTCTGAACTGATTGTCTTTCTGTGTATTATATGTTGCAAATCTTTAATTGTCTTGTCTTTTTCCTTTATAATATCATTATAATGATCAAATGACATCACTTCATCTTTCATTACACCAAATAAGCTATACTTTGCCCTTATCTTCTCCTTCTCTCTTTTATTGCTCCTTTTGATGAGGCTATTTATCTCTCCTGCCTTTGACATCATCCTTTTCTTTAGGCGTTCAGCAGCTTCTGATACTTGTACTGCCTTCCCAGCAATACTGTTACTTAGTGCAGCTATTATTGATGGAGGCTTCTGCAGGTACCACAGGTATAATAGCCCATTTGGAACCTTCAAACTGCATAGATTATTGCTGCTGCGTTTACTGTACTGGTTTGTACAAGCACCTTCAACAATGACATCAAAGGACATGACCAGCTGTGTTTGTTCAATTCAAGTGTTGCTTGCTCGTAACCGCTAAATTCTGCTTATCTTTTTTTATAAATTGTTCCATTAAATTGAAATGACAATCATCAATTTTTTTATATCATTACAAAGGTCAAAAGGTGAACTATACCGTAATAACTCGGGAAAGATGGATATATTGTTCTATTTAAAGTTACTATGTTATAAAGTTATGAAAAATTAAAAAATTATAAACAATAATGGATGTCCCGCGCCGACCACAGTACAGGTTTTTCAGAGCTAACTGTTCCAAGGGATTGTTCTCTTTCTGAAGAAATTTCAAGCCTAATGGAAAGACAAAGACTTAAATAATGTTATAATACCGTATAGCTGGTTTATTTCGTGTGGAATTAATTTTCGTGCAGGCTCAAATCCACTAAAATTAATTCCACTAAATTTTATTAAAACCAATTAAATATTTTAAAAAAATTAGCAAGGCACTAAAATTAATTCTAATGAAAATTTAAGCAGTAAAAATT